CACAGAGAAGTAGTGAACGCGATCTCAGGAGTCAGTGTGTCTAGCTACGTCTCGGAGTAAACAGGCTTGTTGAGGTTGAATATACAGTAACTCATGTTGACGACTGGACGTGAAATCATCATATCAATCAACATTGGAAAGGAAATTTATACTGATGACTCCCGAGGTCTTCTGACTATGCTCCTCACTTGCGGTCAACGCGCCTGCCGAACTCATAGTTCCTTCCGTCGTGCTGGTCCTAAATCGAGGCAACCTGATACAGTGCCACGTACACCCGCTCGCCTGCCCTCAAGGTTGAGTTTGCGGTCAGTAAGTTGATCATGCGTGGTCATTCTCTTTCTGTGCCTGTACCTCTGCCCTTATCTTCACTGCTTGCCTTCACTAGGCATATCCTATATCTTGATGATTTATAACCCGTCAATCTCGTCGTACTATACAAGCATATTATTCATCCCACATCAAGTTGATGGCTCAGATATCCACCTTTACCGCTTCGCCATGCACATTCTCACAGCTCTTGAGGGTATCGTGTCCTGTGTCGCTCGTTTTGCCTTGAGACATCATGATATCTAATCTTCTGTGAAACTCGGATCTCCTCCAGGCTGCGAGAACGAACAGCCATCTTTGTCTGGGAGGTTCTCATTTCCTGACGGGCATATTTGTAAAGCCCGAGTCGATTTGAACCTGCAGAAATGCATAAGAGAATCTCAGGGGATAATTTTGCATCACCGCCGACGTATCCCCTTGATTGCTCTGTCTTATCCCGAGTGGTCTATGATACGCAACGACATCCTCGTTCCTCTGCTCACTTCCAACCCGTTGGTGAGTAAGTGTTCATCTATCACACTGCTACCCTTCCCGAGTTGAAATCGGACTCAGGCTAATGTCTTATATCAACGACAGTACCCGTGAAGATCAAGACATTGATGGTATCAACATCAAAAGGTCCAGGTGCGCCGTGCAAGTAGAAGGTTTCGGGTGCAAGTGAATTCTCGGAAATTAGGCAACTTGAAATGGCAATGACACCTCGTATATCAAAGATGTTGTACGGACATATGATAAAGTTTCGCTCCAACGGCAGCCTAGTTGAGTTGCCGACCTTGAATACTACGACAGTTTGGTAAGATGGAAACTGCGAAAATATTTATACTCGTGGGAGCGTGATAAACATATCGCGTCCTTCCCCAGTGGACCTTTAGTCTCCCCAACTCACCCACCCGAGGTTGAATTTAAATGCTGCATGGATCCCCCAATACAGCTTCTGAGCACCGTACGTCCAAAATCCATCTCTGGCTTCTTCCGGTCTTAACGGCCTATGGTTCAACTAGGTTGGATTAGTACTTTATGGTTTTCAAGGTCCCCTATGCTGCTCTGAGGCCGACGTTTGTTAATCTTTCCTCAGGTGTACACACTGTCCTCTGTGCTCTATGCATGTATATTCTCTTCATCCGGAAACAGGATCGTCACTGGGTTCATTGCGCCCTGATTACCGCCATATATATCGCTGCAACCGTCGGATTTGGCCTCAAATATGCTATGTACGAGAATCCCGCTTGGTACGAGGTACACCTGGAGCTAAGTGATAATGACTTCCCATGGCAGGACTGGTAAGTTGAATACATCTCTGTGAAACGCTCCTGCGCAGGTGTTGACTTGACACGATAGGTATTCTCTTATATCTATGAGGATTGCGGCGGCAATGTCCACCATCATCGCAAAGTGAGTACATCCATTTGGGTAGGAAGAAACCGCCTGCTAATGGTGCTTTGGGTTGGAATAGCGGGGTGACTGACATTATCATGGTGAGCTGGGTTCTAGTATGCTGCCCTTGCACGTAGTTGTTCAACTAAACGAAAATTCGATTAGCTATGGCGTTGCTACCTCGTATAGAACCGCAATGGATGGGTTATACTAGGACCCAGTCTCCTCTGTCTTTTATCTCTCGGTGAGTGTCATTTAGTCACAGCTCGGGAGCAGGTTCAAGATTGACGCTTGACTAGGACTCGGTATTTTAGCAGTCGTAACTAGCATGAGCGACTATCCCTTCTTCTTCGTATCCTTCGGTTTGTTTACTTGCGCTACAAACGTCATCTTGACTTTGCTCGTTGGTGAGCTTGCTGGCACATGCTCACGTTGGACCTCTCATTTACACACCAAAGCGGGACGTATCCTTTTCATCGCTCGCCGTGTAAACAAATACCTACCACCCCAAAGCAAGTCACGTAGAATGTACAAGACGGTTATCTCAGCAACGTGAGTCTTCATCACCCCTCAAGGATGTTTAGAAGCCCCCTAATCGAACGCCTCAGCCTGGAGTCGGGTTTGATGTACCCGATAGTCTTACTTGTGTTTGGGGTGTCTAGCCAACCTCCGATCTGGACCGTCGCCGAGAATCAAAACGCGCGAACATTAGTAGAAGTCACCTTCGATTCCCTGGTGTATGTCATGGTGAGTGTGTAGCTGCTCAGGCGCTAGAATAGCATAACTTATGATTGGAAAGGGAATTGCGTCGGCCCTCATTATTGTCCGAGTGTCTCTCGAGATAGCAATCCGCGACAAAAAAACATGCATAGCAACCATTATTCGGGACCACGAGCGCTCCCTTGCAACCGTTATCGATATATAGGTCGCGAACATCACAACAATGCTCAATCCGCTCGGGAAACTGGGGAGTCGGATTTGGAGGCCTAAGAACACGAGATATAGTGGATGCAAAATCAGGGAAGCTGGTTGTGAGCTCGCTGAGCAAAGGAGCTAGTATAGGGAACAAACCTGTTGCGACTTCACCACTCCATTCCGCATTATGTAAATAGATTCATCGGAACGTGTAGTTCCAAGACCAGATCTCCAGAAGGGATAGTATCAGCAACGTTATTCTAATCACAAAGTCGTTAACGGCTGGACACGTCATCCGAATCATTATTTTGTTTGACCTGAGAATCGTCCTGCTACTGTACAATGTAACAATCGCGCCATGCATTTAGCAACGCGATTTCTCTCCCCTTTGAACGAAGATGCTGGTTTATGAACAAGGGAGCGGGGGATCGGTCATCGGAAGGACGAGCGAGTGCTCATGGGCCAATAGATGATAAACAGCAGGTACAGCGGTGGTAGAGAATCGGCGGCAGCAAAATGAATAGTCGGAGACTGAATCATACACGGATGTTACCGCCGGCGAATGCCGACTCCTTGTTACGCAGGTGACAACCTTCTTTTTCCCTGACTGCCATGACTTCGCTTTGGACTTTGACTCGCTATCATGAGTGATTCAGGATGAGTTTGCACCATCCTGTACGTCTGCAATTCTCTATGCGCTAGATCTCTTTGCGCTAATAAAAACGTCATCCTATTCCGCTCTCCACCTACTTCGTTTTTGTACCCGGAAAAGAGGTGACAATTTTCGGTGGGTGACCAAGGGTGCGTAAAGTTTCTGCTTCTCCTATCAATGATAATTGACTTTACAATCTGGCTTTCTTGAACATATAGATCCTCCGTGAACGTCAACTACACGAAACCATCGAGATCGTCAAAATGTCTTTAGACGGAAGACTCTATACATCTTCCCCAGCTTGACCTGCGGACGGTCTATACGTCCCCAATGCCCATACCCACCTTTGGCTCACCTCGTCAGTGACGCTCGTGCTGGCTGCTTCACAGGGTCTCCACCCGCTTCTCAAGTGTATCGAAAAGATCTTGCTCGTCATTTTTCAGTCACGGCCAAGTGTTCAAAGGGCCAAACAATGTCTGCCAGGATGTATGCCTAGCGTTGGTCGATGGCATGCACCCTGCCTCTTCGTCTCATCAGACCACCATCATATGTCTTCCAGTGACCTAGGATGACGCGTACAACTTGCGATCTTTGCGATCTACGGGCACCGTTTCAATTTGGAATGGTCGGAATGAACAAGGAAGGGACGCCTTGGCTTGGAGGGCGCCTTAATGGATGGATGGTACGCACTGCTCATTTTCTCTCTGCTCACGTCTCTGATGATCTTGCTTTCCTGTCGATCCAGCTGCGTCTTCAAGATCACCAACCTCATCAAAGAGGATCGCCTCCATCGTCCTTTCACTGCCGGCAAGCAAATAGTTGCCACCACGTTCGGTGTAAGAACCCTCCAAGCTCGCGATCTACCTCTCCGTCTGGCATCGTAGTCTCTTGCGTTACCGAGTTCAAGCGTCCTTTCGTGGCGATTTTTTGGGCACTACTCGGAACAATACAGATAGCCCCTTCCTCCATACTCAAATCAACGGTCTCCCCTACTTGCCGTCGTAATTCGAATACTCCTTTCACTTATCATTATATTGCTTTCCGGTTCTATCCAGCCATATTCTACCTCACGCTCTCTCCCGCACCCCCAGCGCACCAATTACCTGTGATGAGGACCAGGAAATCGCTGTACGACTGCCATCTTTCGGCTTTTGTCGGCGGCTCGGGTGGAGAGGAAAGATGTGGAACGTTGAGGTGGGCGTATTTGATTTGATGCTCAGTGTTCTTCCTCGGTGGGAAGAAAGGAGGGTCGGGAATTGTGTTGGTTCTTGTGCTGGGTACTGGGTCCACTCATTTCTGCTCACCTGTGCTACGAAGGGAAGAAGAGGAGGGGCGGGTGGGGAATGTGTTTGTCGCATGGATGAGCGTTTAGTGGGAAGTCGGTATCTTCGCTCTTCCTTCCGAGCCGGTTCGAATTGAACACTTTTTCTCTCATTCTCGTTGGCTTCCTTTGCCCCTATGGCACTACGTTTCTCGCTACATTGTTTCAGACCCTTTTCCCCCTCGCTTTGAATATTTAGATTCATCCATCCCCGTTTAGCAGTATCAACATAGCAGGGGAATCTTTTTCTCGCCAATGTATAATATCCTCCTCGATATAAGTTTTCCTTTTACCTCCAGTTCGCTCGAGTTTTGGCGGCAAAGCCTCTCCGCTCTCAATGGTTGGGGGGACAGGAGGCTTCGCTCGTTGAGTGCAGGACTTTATCGTACGTATCATATCTTTGCTTTCAAAGGCCGCCTGGCGAAATGGCATCGCGTCTGACTACGATATCGGGTTGTCCCCGATAATATGTGTAATCAGGAGATTGCAGGTGCGACCCCTGCGGTGGTCATTGATTGGTCCCAGTACTTTTTTCTTCGACCTCTTTTGACATTTTTTTTCTGCCCCTGTAATCCTGAGCTCTGAGACCCTGCCGCTTGAAGCCTAGTTCCGCATTTGGAGAGGAATTATGCCAACCTTGAGATGGAGGATATGATGTGTGATGCATGATTCGCGGGTGTCAAAGGCGGAAACTGAGGACGACAGACGGGAAAGTACATGCAGGGCTTCCGAGCGCTAGGCTGTGAGCGGTCAATTTTAGGGCCAGCACCTCAATCCATTCCTCCCCTAGCCCTCGACACTTGGTGAGAGTGGCTATGGTACACTCTGAATCCTGACCTCGGAGCTGGGAGATACACTACTAGTGACTCTCAACGGTGTCGCGCACGTGTGTGTGATCTGGTTGTTATTCTCCTCTAACAGTGCCGGGACTGTCCTTTGAGATTTACACATGCATTCTTTGGCCCGCTCAGGTTAGTTGATAAACTATAAATAAAAGGCTCGTGTTGGAAGGCAGCAGCCCCATTTACAGCTCCAACCCACTAATGTTGAAGAATACACTTCCCCGGGCCTCTCTTCGTCTTTGCATTTACCACGGGACTCTTCCCAGCCCGACTCAACTGTTCGTGAGGGATGCCACCTCGGTCTCTACCTGCTCGAGCCCAGAATTGTCAATGACTCAACTAGTACAACGTTGGACTCGACTCCCGTGGCTACTCGTCACGGCAATTAATTGGCAAGTTCAAGTCTTGCTTTTTGGTGAAGTGTTTGTTCTAATCACCCTATCTCTCGTCAGATAGACTCACTTGGACAACGGTCAAGAGTTTCAACTCTTTCCCATCTTCCTAAGGAGCCCATCACATCTTCCCACCACCGCCTCGATGGCGAGGAGTGTAGATTCCTGGCTCTCTGCCAAAGCTTCGTTCCCCGCAACCAACACCTTCTCCTTAACAGTCAGTCTTCGACTCTATTTCTCATCTGCCTGTGGTTGGGCGAGGATCTTCATCACACTTGTCGCGCTTTTGCTGGTGGGGCTGATCCCGGTTGTGGCAGCGAGCCTTTCTCAATGTGTTGACCAAAAGCTAGTTCGTCCTTCCTACCAGTTCTGCCATTCTTCATAGACATAGGGTTTCCGATAGTTAAACTTGTACATAGACTCATGTGTCGATTACATGTCAGCCGTCAATTGCGATAACGGGCATGGATTGTTCGTAGGGACTTGTACATCAAGAGGCTCTTGTACCATCACAATAGGGCTGATGGCAACTAATCCTTGGAGCGTGACCCCAGTGTCAATCCTCGCCAACTGTTTAAACTTCCCACCATGAACTAGTTATGCTTCGTCCGAGGCTGCATAGAAGAAGTCCCGTGGCACTCGCAGCTTCAGGATTCGATGCCTAGAAAGAAAGGCTTCGGCAAGGCGGGTATGAGGTGAAAGAGAGATAGACTACTCACTCGTTCCTCAAATGCTCCGCCACAACTTCCCTCGTCCAGAGTCGTTCGGCGTTGACAGTACAATGCGCGCATGACCAACACTCTCGTTCGTCCTTGAGGTTCATCCCTCGTACCTCCTCTTGTAAGAGGATCTGGAATACCGGGTTGTCCCGTCCCTGGTCTTGTATGTCTTTGTGTTTTGAAGGGCTGCTAGTAGTGTTTTCTTGAAAGGCGTGAACGATCTACCCAATTAGAAAGTGTCAAGTGTCAGAAGCGTGAGCACAAACACAAAGGAAGAGAGAAGACACCTACACACTCTCTCCACGTCCCGATAAAGCTTCCGTTGGTACACTTCAGGCACCTATACCACTTCCCTCTCTCATCCATCTCGCCCACTTTGCCGTCATACATCCTCTCCGCACCCAAAGTAGCCCAGACAAGTCCGGCGGCTGACCGTGAGCAGAAGATTAACACCGTCCTTCGAAGATAATCCCTACTGAATTTGAAAATCCTGGGAACATCTGTATCCGACTTTAGAAAACAGGGGCCTGTTGAGTGTCGTATCGACGTGAACGCTGAACTGAACACCCGTTGGCAAACCAAGCATTTCCCTTGCACGGTTGCTAGATCTTCCCGCTGATTGTGGGACCTAGGAACAACGATCTCAACCTCTGGATCCATCCAGTGCGAGAAGGCTTCCTCCTTATCCTGTTTCAAATCTTTCCATTCGTTATCCATGGAGAATCCGCCTTTAAGCCTGTCCATGACTGATTCGAGCTGAAAGGCAAATGTGTCCTCTGCCCCAGTAGGATTGTTACTTATACTCCTCAGGCTCCTCTTCTTCTGGACCATCTCGGGTGTGACCTGAATCTTTTCCCGTAACGCGATAATGCGTCTCATTGATGGTAAACACCACACAGCCTCTACAGACGGGAGTAGAGAACTGCGCCATGCGGTCGGAGAGAGTGAACGTTTGTATGAGAGGTAGTGTTGGGTGATTAGGTTGCAACGAGATACAACAAAGGCAGGGCGTTGAGTTTCACCGGAAGGGGCGCCTGTGACAAGAGGATCATCGGCGGGATCCAGTGGGTTGCGCATATCGGTTAGAAGCCTTTTGACACGAAGGTCGAACACGATTCCGGTCAGTCGCGGTCCAATTTGCGTCCATACTGAATATATGATGAGCTGAGAGAACCTGAAGAATGAAGCAAAAAAAGTACGCACTACGTTCAGTCAACGGCCGATCTTTTGCAACGTCTACATGACCTCTGATACCGTCCATATCCCGATCTACAAAACCCTTCTTTCTGAGTCGTGACTTGATTCTGATGATAGCGGTCGTGAAAATAGATCGAAAAAATTGCTAGAGAAACCACATACGCGGCAAACCTCTCTTCCTTCATGAGACGGACGTCCTCTGCCTTTCTCTCAGATTCTTCAGCTAACCATTCGTAGCACAAATCTGCGTGCTAAAAACACCGCTTTATCAGAAGCTATCTGGTATGGTTGAAGAAGACAGACGTACGGCAAGGAGCCTCTCCAAATATGCTTTTCGTTCTTGCACGTAAGCTTTCAACTCTTCTTTGTTAGCGCACTTCCTGATTCGTTCAAGCACTCGCTCAATTTGCTGTCGGTTGTAATAACTTGACCTTTGACTACCTGTTGTAAAAGGTAAGAAGTAAGAATTGGACGGTGAGAGTTTGTACTGACCCCTCGTAGGCTGGACTAGATCCAAGATAAGCTTATGTTCGTCTGGATATGCTTCTCTGAGTTGGTCTTTACTGATTCCACTGACGAAAATCCGTTCAACTTGTGAGCCACAAGATCAAAACCACTGTCAAACGTACTTTGCTTTCACACATGCAAAGCAGATCCTAATCATCAGGATAAACTCGACCCTACGCACGCTCTTGGCCCCACAAAACTGGCAACAGACGTCAGTATCAAGAAAGGCATTATATAGCGAGCAAAGTACAAGATGAACATACCGAGCAGTTTGTATCCCCGAACAGTAGTCGAACCCATTGTACCTCGCTCTTCTCTTCCCAAGGGTGTGGGGCCTTGCACGATTTACGAACTCGCCTCCATACGGACACTGTTTGGGGAGATAAGAGTGTCGATCGGAACACGATTGACGCGGGTGAGAGCAAGGAGTGACCTCGGTGGGAGGCAGCTAAAGATCTGAGCAGACAAAGTGTGAAGCGAATGAAAGGGAAGGAAACTGAGAAAGACATACGGTATATAGCACGTCCAGAGGCATGGCCGGTAGATGACTCAGCTTCCCCGTGTTTCCTCCTTCCCTCAGTCCCTTGAGTTGTCTTAATGCCTTCAATCTCGCAGAAAAATCCATCCACTTGACGGTCAACTCGAAGCAAGCTGGGCTTTGATTGATTGTTGAGCAGGATTTGAAGGTAGTAGTGGGCGGTGATGGTGGTATGGGTCCAAGAGTGAGTTCAGGGCCGTGTGTGGGCACGGGACTGTTCGCGCGTGGCTCGGCATTTTCCGAAACAGCCTGACTGGGAGCCCTGAGCTTGAACCGACAGACTCTGAACATAGAGGTGAGCAGAGGGTTGGGGTTTCGGCATCTATTGAGTCATCGATTAGTTGTAACTTGTCCTCTTCACGCACTGTGGGTGGTTTCACGGCACTCGCGGGTCCCGAGGCCAAGCCAAATTTCTAGGCTATATAGATGCAACGGGACATTGAGAAGGACGACCTTAGTCTATGAAATTGGTCGCTTCACTCTTGAGCGTACCGACTGTGAGGCTGAGGTCCACCCCATTCTATATCATAACAGTCGACTACCAATTTTCGGGGTTTCGGGAGCTGGGATGTGAGTGGCGCAAAATACTGTAAGCGATTGACTGTGATCATTGACATCGTTAATGACGCAGCATTCCTTGGCACCCGCTTGGGAGATGGAGGATCACACCGGGTGCAAGAGCCCACTCACTTTCCGGGAAAGTGATACCGACTCACTTGCCTACTCACTTCCTTTCACTTTCCTTGTACTCTTTGTATTGGGCACTATTTTTTTTTGGCGGGGAAATGGCCGTATATGAGGGCACAAAGACCTTTGTGACATGTGAAGGAAAGTGAGAAGGAAAGTGAGTGGGCTCTTGTGCCCAGTGTCAGTGAGATGCCTGAGATATCAACCACTGATTTGGCAATGAGGAGTGCAGAAACAATAAATCAAAACTAACAAGATAAGATGATACTGGTGCATGGAGGCTTGTAGCCTGGGCTAACGCCGGTAGGACGGAGGGTGGAGATCCGGCGATCCAACAACCGAGTTAGCCGAAAGCGGACCAATCCAAACTTCAAATTCCACCCTTGATTGCGACCCCAAAGTCGGCGGGAGAAAATCGAAAGCGGTCGAGAGAAAAAATGAGAGCAAGGTTCAACTGAGAGTCTAGGTGGATTTCCGGCTGCTGAATGCTGATTCAAAAGTTTAGCTACACAGCGGATCGAAACGAAAATGCCCGTAACCTTCCGGTTATCCTCTACCAACGAAACACATATGGAAAACTCGTGCGGGTTCTCGAGTTTGCTGCAACTCTGCCCGATGGTGAGCAGACT